TTTTTTTTATGAATTTTGAATGCGTCCGAAGTCTTCCCCACAAAAACAAATTAAAAAATTAAAAATTTCATCTAATAATGTATATGTCGATATGTTATTAATTTAATTATTATATTAGATGTTATGTATTGTCATCTGTCACCGATGCATGCTAATGGTCAGTGATGACCACTTTCTACTAATAATAACCATGCAGCTCCTTGTTCTCACGCTCTGCGAACAGATGTATCACGATGTATATATCGATGTTATTAAATTAATTATTATATTAGATGTTATGTATCGTCTGTCACAGATGCATGCTAATGGTCAGTGATGACCACTCTCTACTAATAATGACCAGCTCCTTGTTCTCACGCCCTGTAAGTAGACATCTAATGATGTATGTATCGATATGTTATTAATTTAATTATTATATTAGATGTATTGTATCGTCTATAACCCGCGCATGCTAATGGTCAGTGATGACCAGCTCTTCTTGTTCTCACACCCTGCAAGCAGTAGCACGCAGCCATGTCTCGTCTGTGTCTGTTACTACCGGGCTACCCATGGACGGTGGTTAAAGTTAGGGGGGTCTGTCTGCTAAGAAAATAGTCAGTGAGGGTCCCCTTGCTAAGATGACGGGTAGATGATGCTAGATGAGCTATAAAACTGAAAGCGAGATCTCAGTGCCAACAGCGAGAAAATTTCACAGCTATACCAGCCACAACCCAGCTATATCTGCCAATCACCCAAGCAGTTACGAGTTGAATCAAATCACGACGAATTCAGACAGCCAGGGTACACGTGGGGGGAGGGGGGTCACGAAACGTAAAGCTGCCTTCAAATTTCAACTGCCTTCAAATTTCAACTGCCTTCAAATTTCAACTGCCTTCAAATTTCAGCTGCCTTCAAATTTCAACTGCCTTCAAATTTCAGCTGCCTTCAAATTTCAGCTGCATTGAAATTTCAGCTGCATTGAAATTTCAGCTGCCTTCAAATTTCAACTGCCTTCAAATTTCAGCTGCCTTCAAATTTCAGCTGCCTTCAAATTTCAGCTGCCTTCAAATTTCAGCTGCCTTCAAATTTCAGCTGCCTTCAAATTTCAGCTGCCTTCAAATTTCAGCTGCCTTCAAATTCCAGCTGCTTTCAAATTTCAACTACCTTCAAATTTCAGCTGCCTTCAAATTTCAGCTGCCTTCAAATTTCAGCTGCCTTCAAATTTCAACTGCATTCAAATTTCAACTA